CTATAATGAATGTATGATAATTTTTCAATCGTTTGCATTTTTATCAATGCTTACAATTATTTTAAAGACATTTAGTAATTCTTTTGAAACATTTTTATCTGCAATGCTTTGTTGTTTAACTTTACAAAAATTTTACTTGGATTTTAATATCACTGTTACTGATTCTTTTTGTTTCGAAACACTTAAATTATGCCTGGTATCGTGTTTTTTTGTATTTATTTATTACTTTGCTATTTATATTAGCTATGTGATTTTTATCTTTTTATCAGGTTTATTTATTTTATTATTAATCAGTTGGTTTAGTAATGATAGTAGGTTTATTAAGTTCTTTTTAACTTCTATTAATTTTGACGAGCATACTCCAATAACATCTAATTTCAAAAATTTAGTTTTTTTAACTTATATTTTTGGAACTGCAAGTTTTATTTTTAATCAGATAGTTAATAGTCTTTTTAATTAGGTTTTAAAATAAAGAACTTTATTTAATAATTTTAATTGTTTTTTTAATTAATTAATAAAATATTAATTAATAAGAAATAAATTTATTAATTATTTAGAATGAAAGTTTCATTAAGAAATTTTCAAAAAAAATTTAATTAAATTTTTAATAAAAAACAATTTTAAAATAGTATAAATTTAAACTTATTTTACATTTTTACAGATTAATTTCATTTAATTTAAAAATAAATCAATTTTTAAATTAAATTTTTAATTTTCTTATTCTTTTTATTCAATTAAAACACTACCCCTTTATTATGACAGAGAGAGCATTACAATTCTTAGATGAACTAAACACCGAGTCTAAAATAGATGAAAAATTTAGTTTAAATATGATTATAGATAAGACTCTTTATTATGTAGCTTTATGTTATAAAAAATTATTTTTACACTTCATAACAGAAATATCATTTCTAATAACAGTGTTTAAATCAATCTCTCAAAAGCTTAACACTATTATTAAAACTGAGTATTTAATGACACCCGGATTTTATTTTATAATAACTGTTCACTTGTTAATGTTGGTATTGTTTTCACG